ACTCGCTCATGACATTCTGTATGAATGTTAATCATAATTTTCCTCCTATCTTTTTTCAGAAGGCGGACGCAGTGAGAACAAACAACCTTCACACGGCTTGCAATGGGGGAGACCTTCCATGGACGGGAAGACCTATTGGACTGTGGAACTCACGATGAGACACGGAGAACTGTAAACGGATGTGGTCGTCAGGACATTTCATCACAAAGTTCCCTTTTATTCGTTTGCGGAATTATATCTGTAAATAGTTCAACAGGCCACTTCATCGTCTTTGCAATATAATCTTTCCGTGACATTTCCAAACTCCTTTGACAGTGTGCACGGTCTACAAAAGAGCGATAGTCAAATCGAAATACCTTGTTATCTTTTACTTCCTTTTAGCCCCCACGGTCGGATGCGGAGGGGACGGCTTCAGCTGGACGGGGAGGCTACTCCGCGGTGGACGTACCCACCAGGTGAACCCAAATCGTTTCCAGCGTGACCTTTAAGTTCCGCACATTTCCTCCGAATCCTGCTCATTGATATCTGCGCTACTGAAGATATGGCTAATGTGTTAAATAAGTGAAAGGCGAACTACAGTGATTATGACCTACCGTAATTTTTCGGACACTATAATGGCGCACCCTGAATATAAGCCGCAGCGCTAATTGAATGATGTGTACATATATAAGCCGCACTCGGAACTATAAGCCGCAGGTGTTTTTAATGCCTTTAATTACCATATGTAACGGGTTGCGTGCACAGAGGGGATTAGTCGGGAAAGAGATGGCTGTTTGGAGGAAGCTCCACTTTATTTAAGCACTTTCCTACAAACAGTTGCCAATTTGCATAAGTATCTCAAGGGGTAGCATCTTTAGCGCAATATAAGCTAGCGAACATGTACTGGCTGCTGTGTAAACCCGTTCTGTATCCACATAGCGTTTTCAGACACACAAACTTTTAAACTTTCAAACTTAAACGGTGCGCTCCCAGCCGCACGTACCGGCAGTGCATCTAACAGCAGTGGTTTTTCAACAGTGGTAACGGGACAAAACTGTGTCTCGCTCTCAGTAATGTCTGTCTGCATCTTGCTCTCGTTCTGTCTCTCGTACCCACTCTCGGTTCGGCGCTTTACTTTTTCGGGCGCAAACCTGTCTCATCTTTTCCGGCCTCCAGAAGCCTTTTCTCTTGCTGGAGGCCTGCCGCTTAAAGTTGGGGGTCTCGGCGGACCAGGCGCCCATATGGAGCCATAGAGTTAACAGCGTGGTGGCCGTGAGCTGTACAAAGTCATAGATTAGCCGCACGGTTATATAAGCCCGCAGCGTCGGAAAAATGGGGAAAAAAGGCGGCGGGCTTATAGTCCGAAAAGTACGGTACAACTGTAAATGTCAGGGCGTTGATGGCAGCGACAACTTCTTTTCGCTCCATGTAATACATATTTTTAGCAGGTACCATCCTAGTGTAGAATGCCTTAAGAATACTGCAAAAAGTCCCTTCTTTTTTTGCAGCAAAAGTTCCAAGAAACAATAACAAAGCAGACGAGCGCGCCGCCAGCAGACTTAGTTTCTTCTTCCATATGCTCCGGTGTAAGGCGGCTGCTATCAACGTCTAAGATTCACAAAGTTAAGTCAAATTGTAGCTGCTTAAATTCATAATTCTTTTAAGATCGATACCCAGAATGTGCTCCTATTTTATTTAACAAAACCCAATTTTAATTGTCTCATATTCATGTTTTAACCACATTTCAAAAACCTTTTCAACCTTCTGGGTAATTAAACATATTAAGCCCCAGGATAAACTTTAAATCAAATGTTTATCCTATTGCTGCACAATGCTGTTATTGGACTGTTATTGATTTTAAAAGCCGATTAATAATACTAATAATATCAATAATAATGCATACAAATGATAATTATTGCAGATTACAAATTATAAATAAATCATTTAGGGACAAGGGGGTGGGATTAAATAAGTTATACTTCTTCTCACTCCTTTTTGAACATTAGATGTGGCACTGTTTATGTTGATAATGCTGTTGTTGTTGTTGTTGTTGTAAATGTCATTTTTTGTTTTGTCATTTCTATGTTTTGATTTGTTTTTCATGACTATGCACTGCAACATTTGTTTTGTTTTTGTAATTTTACTTGTTCGAAATAAAATCAATCAATCAATCAAAAAAAAGTCAAAATCTTTTTTCCTCTGCTGTGACTGTAGAAGGACTTCATGTCTCTGGAGCTGTCCGAGGGGAAGGTGAAGGTGAACTTTGACCTCGGCTCAGGAGTCGGCAGCGCCCTCTCAGCCAGCCGGCACAACGACGGACACTGGAAGTCCCTCACCATGTCACGGAACAAGAAAACAGGTAACCACAGCAACAACAACAGTCTGAAAAAGCTAATTATTTTGTAAAGTATAAATGATGACTGATAACCTAAATTATAATGTGTAAAACCAATAATGTGTAGTATTATTAGCCTAGATAACATCAAACTATACATTTTTATCTTTTTTTTTTTTAATAACAGGTAGTCCTATTAATATATAAATATCTATTTTCTTCAAGAAAGACCAATGCAAATGAATAAACAGTCAACATTTGCGTGCACAACAGATATGGTTCCACAGCAAAGAAAACAATTACAAGCAACATCAAAAAACTTGAGTTTAATGTTAATAAAACAATATGTAGGTTTGTAATTTGAAAGTAGATTTTCTCTGCCTTTTCTGTAAATGTTTTCCTTTTGAATTGTTTTCAAAGCCACGGTGACCGTAGTGGACATCGACAGCGGTGCTGAGGAGAAAATAGTGACGACGTCTCAGGGCCCGGCGACAGGTCTGAACCTCAAAGAACACCAGAAGATCTACTTTGGAGGGCTGCCTACCATTGGAAACTATAGGTAAACACACACACACACACACACACACACACACACACACACACACATACACATACACACACAACACACACACAGAACTATTTGACACATTTCCCGCTCTTATGTGCCCATCCCCCCACATGGATCACACCTGGCACACGCAATACATGTTCAGTGTCTATTCTTTGTATATTTACTGCAGTTGTTCATGTATACCAGTAGTCTGATACAATATGTACAGTTTGAAAGGGTGTTAAATGAAAGTTGGTGATGATTAATGGTTTTTGTGTTAATGTAATAGCAGTTAAAACAGGACCGGTCAAATTTGACCGCGAACACCAAAGTAAGGGGGGGGGAACGAAGACAATAGGAGGGTTAATGTTTCTCAAAGTTGATATTTTAACGGAGTTGGTAGAGCATGTCTCAAATGAACCATCTGCAGAGTGGATTTGCATAGCACAGATCTACTAAAACCTTTCTGTATTATAGTATTAAGATTGTCTACTTTTAATGTTGCATACTGCTGTTTAAGTGATTTATCATGCGTGTGTAAACTCCTCATAATGTCCTTATATAGAAGGTGAGTGAACATGTGCATGGATAATAAATGTGATACATAAATATACGTCTTTATGCCCATGATATGTTTGACCTGTGGTTCACACTTTGTATACCTACTGTATAAAGTTAGTATCTTTTAGTAAATTGTAGAGATACAAGTTGTTGTTTTTGCTACACAGTAAACAAATGGCCTAAGCACGTAACCATTTCAGTACATTTTTAGTTTAGTTTATTCCGTGTAAACAAACAAACTATCTAGAATCTATACAATCCTAACAAGAACGCACATCCTTTGAACCTCAATGCACTTCATGAACACTACCATTGACTCTACATTGCAGATTTAAAAGCTTACAAGGAATTCACAAGGATTTCTAAACACTAGTGCCATTCATTTGTACAAACATGCAGCCATGGGTGATACAGGCCCAGGGTTGAGTGTATGTAGAGTGAAGGTCTTTTTATTTCTCTTATCTGTCTTTTTATTTCCCTCACCAATGGCTCTGCTATGCTACAAGGATGAGAGTTTATGATTGTGTGGGTGTCTCTGTGTTTGTATTTCCACTTTGAAACCACAGTCAAAGTGAAGAGGAAGTGCAGAAAGGTGTATTTGATTTGTGAAGCAGCGTGAGTCTAAAGGTTCAAGAGTAAAGCCTTGGCTTGGTTGACCTTTCTTCACTGCTTTTAAAACACCATTTTACTTTTTGTTCTGTATCCTCTGTAAAGTTTAGGTCTAATCAATGTATCTACTAATACTAAAACTATCACCTATTATGCAAAACCCACTTTGTCATGTATTTTATACATCAACATGTGTCCCCTCTGTGTAAAGAGATTCTGAAAGTTTCAGGAACAAAGATTCTCTCTCTTTTTGTCCTGATCCATTTATATAAAAACCTGTCTGAAAATTAGCTGATCAAATTTTGGCCACTTTATGATGTCATAACGATTTTTTGGCTTGTGTAACCATTAGCCAATCACCAACCAAGGTAGCCCCCCGCCCACCTTACCACCTGAATCTCCTCCTAGAGCACCTGTGTGTTCTTTTTAACCAAATCTCTCTCAGAGGGGCGTGGGGAGGGGCTCCTTATTTTCATCTAAAGTAACAGACAGAGAATCAGCACTTTTGAAACAGGGCTGAAACAGAGGGGATTATGGGTAATGCTGCAATGATCAGTTTGGTGTTTGGAGCCAAACACTTCAGAGACATGTTTGTATATATCTGAGACCTGTAATATATTGATGAAAAACAGTATAACAGGGGACCTATAATCTCTGTCTGGTAGAACCTGTACACGGTCAGCTTCTCTAAGCCGGGCTACATGGAGCTGGGCGGCCTGTCGCTGGCGGTCGGCACGGAGATCAGCCTGTCGTTCAGTACTCTGGCCGACACTGGGACCATCCTGCTGGCTGTGGGCGGGGCTTCATCTGTCATCAAGCAGGTCGGGATCCCATCTTTTTAATTAATTACAAGCTGTGACTCACTCTCATTATCACAGCACTTTATTTTTATTTTTTACTAGTCCATTTTATCCTTCTAATTTAAGGAAGTTTTTGGAACCAACTTTGTGATTTTGTTAGTAATTATTTGGGCCACAATTAGATTTTCTTGAAATGAAAATCATCATAATTTTTATAAATTAATAAATTCAGTATAAATTATTTATTGAATGATATATTCTTTATACAAGTGTAATTGTGTACTTGCTTGTAAACATATGATTTTGTTAATTAGACTAACCAAGGACTCTCTGTTGTGTACTGTTATTATTTATCATAGGGACCTGTTAAACAAATAGTTAATTCATCTTTTTTCCTGATAATTGATCCACCACAGGCCCGCAACTCAAACCTCCTCAGCACCAAGAGGAGACGCAGACAGTCTGGAGAGGTGGGTCACACACACTCACACACACCCAGATAATACACCCCTCTCCCTAAGTGGATGGCGTTTCCATAAGTGCATATTAATGAGATTTGAATGTTTTGGCAACTGGGCTAATTGGATTGTCTTTTATCCAAAACACACTCACAAACTTCCATTGACAGATACATACAGTAGCTATCTCAGCTTTTGCTGACCACGCAAGCGCAGACACACACACACACACACACACACACACACACACACACACACACACACACACACACACACACCACACACACACAACACACACACACACGACACACACACACACACAATTTTCTTTTTAAGTGCATGAGTGCATATTACTCGCGCTTCGTTTGTTCGCAACTCCGCGATTACGCGCTCTCGCGCGCTAAAACCTCTTCACTCACTCGCCATATCCACTCCGAAGTCCCTTAACTGATCAACGCTCTTTCTCTCGCTTCGATAAAACCAATCTGTTCTTTATCTCTGCTGGAAACCTCGCTCGCTCTCGCGCTCTTCGTTTGCACATGCTTCATGTGTGTGTGTGTGCTGCTCGCTCGCTTCTCGCTGCTGCTGTCGCGCTTGCTGCTGTTGCTCGCTGTGTGTGTTGTGTGCGGTGCTGTTGTCTTGTGTGTGTTGTGTGTGTGCTGCTCGTCTGCTGTGCTGTGTCGCGCTGCTGCCTGCGCTGTGCTGCTTGCTTCGCGGCTTCCACTCGCTGCTGCTGCGCTGCTCGTTCTGAACTCGCTTCATCTTCGCTCTCGCGCTGTTCTTCGCTCCGTTGTTTGTATCTCATCGGTGGAGGCTGGTTGCTCACATGAATGCAAACTGGAAGTGTATGCCGGGGTGTATGAGTGTCCATGGATGTGTGGTGAGGGAAGGACATGAGGGTTACCTCTAGCTTATCCATCATCCATTGTTTTTTGTTTTTTTTGGCCCGGCAATAAATCCCCTACTTTTTTACTAACTATTTTTTGGCCAGGTGGGGGGCCCGGCGGTTTAGTGTGTTGTGTTGTGGTGTGTTGTGGTTTGGGTTGTTGTGGGTTTGGGTGTGTGGTTGTTTGTGGTGGGTGTTGTGGGGTGTTGTGTGTTGGTGTGTTGTTGTGTGGGTTGTGTGGGTTGTGTGGTGGTTGGTGGTTTTGGTTGTGTGTTTGGTGGTGGTTTGGTGTTTGTGTTGGGTGGTGTTGTGGGTTGGTGGAGAAAGGTTTTAAAGCGAGGTTTTTAAAAAACCACCATCCAACCTCAACCCCCTTGCCCCTGACTCAATGGATTGGTTTTTTCCGAAGAGGGGGGACGCAAGAGGAACCAGGGAAGGAGAGGAAGGGACCCCGAGGACAAAGGATGGAGGGCATAGAGGAGGGGGATTTAGAGGTGGAAAGGAGGAAGGGGGGAAAAGATAGAGCTGCCAAAAGGAAAAAATAATGCTAAACGTGGAAGAAAAGGAAAGGGAAAAACCTAAAAAGCAAAAAGAAGGGTTTTAAATTTTTAGACCAAAAGGGGCGGAACAACGGGGGTCAACTGACGGGGGAAGAGAGGGAAAAGAAAAATGGAGAAAAAAGAAAGGGGGAGCCCATGGGAGGCCCAAAAGAAGGGTGGGTAAAGAGAAGGGAAAGAGGGAAAGGGACCCAATAAAGAAAGAGAGAAGGACCCTAAATAAGTGGGGAAGACGGCCCCCATGTTTTGAATGTTGAGAGGTACATGCCCCCCCTCCAGAAATTTATAACAAAAAAAAAACAAACTTCCTGTTTTTTTCCCTTTCTCTTAGCCCGAAAAGAAAATGAAAGTAGGTTTTGTTTTTTTTTTCTAAAGCCTTATTTATAACTGTTATCCGGCGATTCGCTTCCATCCTAAAACAGGCCCCTCCTGGAGGGGTTAGCCAAGTTCCGAGGTGTTTTCCCCGAACGCCGGTGTTTTTGTTGTGAAGGATGAAGGGTCCCACCCTGCACACCGTCATTTGGTTAATTGCTTTTATTAATTAATCCCGGTTTAAAAGGTTCCTCTTTTTAAGCTCACACCGTAATCTAAAAAATTTTTAAAACCATAACCATCAAGCCCGCCCTCCAAGATCCACAAACGATCCCAGGTTTCCCAACCACGGTAAAAAACTGGTGGCTTTTCCTCTCTAACCCTCTCCTCCCCCCCCACAAATATACATCTCTCTCTCCAGTTGCTCCCCCAGGCCCCCAGAAATTGAATGAAGGGAACGGCCGTTCCAACAAAACACACATAGGACCAAAACCGGTGCCCCCAACCAAAACAATAACCTATAAAAAAAATATTAACCAATAAAACCAATTTTTTCCCAATCTAGATTTTAATGTTTTTGGTAACCGACCCTTTAGGAATCAACCTGAAGTTGCCCGTCCCCTGTTCCTTTTTTTAGTGATAATGGTATTTCATTTAATGAAGAAACCCCCCTCCCCTGTCATTTTTGGGGAAGCTGAAAATAAAGCCAACAAAAAAGTAAAAAATATGACTCATTTTTCCAAGAATAAATAATTCTGTGGGCCTGTTTTATGTTATGAATCGTGTGGTCTTAAATATACAAGAAACATAAAGGTAAACAAAATAATTGAGAAATAACTGTTTTTTTGGGTACAAATGTTCCCCCCAATCCCCCCCCTAAAGTTGTCCTGGGTACCTGAATAACGCTCTTTCTTATGCCCTGAGAATTTTATGAAATGGCTTTTTACACAACGCTGCAACCCCCCTCACAAAGCCTCCCTGGCCTTTTCCCCGGGAATGGCAAATTGAAAAAACCAAAGTATAATAACACCATGAAAAAATGGTTTTGCCTCTAGGGGTGGTAATCGTTACAAACAGTTTTTTTTTAACAATAAAATCTTTAGATTGGGTTTCATAAATATTTGAACCAACCAAGAAAAAACCCCGGCATCATTTTTGGCTGAAATCCTTTCCCAGAACCACCGTTTTTTGGTAATCCACCCTGGCTCCTACAAGTTCAAACAGAAAACTTGGCCAAACCAAAACCAAAGCTTTTAAAACCAAAATGCCATAAATACCCAAATCAAACAAATTACCAAAGGTAAAGCGGGATGTGGTTGTGTCTGCCCCCCTTTCTGTGTGAGGTTTTGTTTTTTCCTGGTGGAAACCCTGTATTAGGTTCTTTGCCATATGTTTGTTACCCTTACACCTTCGGTAGGCCGTTATATGGGGCCCCTTCCCCTGATAATATGGTGTCCCCAATCCCGTTATAAGTTCAATGTGTGAGTCTTACTGTGTGAATTGGTTGTGCTCTTGTCTGTTTGTTGTTGGAACTGTGTTCTATTGTTTTTGTTTGGTGTTTGGGTATGTGTTATTTTTGTGTTTTGTTTCTTTTGTTGTTTGTGTGGTGTGGGTTGTCCTGTCTGTGGTTGTGGGTGTGTTGGTTTGTTTTTGTCTGTCTGTCTTGTCTTGTCTGTCTGTTCTGTCTTTTTTGTTGTTTTTGTTTGTTTCTCTCTCTGTCTCTGTCGTCTGTCTGTCCTTTTCTGTTCTGTCTGTTCCTGCGTCTGTCTGTCCTTGTTTTTGTCGTCTGGGTTTTCTTGTCGTTTCCCTGTCTGTCTTTACTGTCCTGCTGTCTGGTCTGTCGGTCTTGTCTGTCTGTCTTGTCTGTTCTGTCTTTGTCCTGTTGGGGTTTGTGCCCCCTGTGGGTGTTGCCCGTTTGTATCTGTAATAATATGTGTGGTTGGCCGTGGTTTGGGGGAGAGGCCTATGTTTTTGTAGCCCTACATCCTCAGTTTCCAATTGTCCCCCGACTCCTGTAAATTGGAAATCATTAAGGTGGTAAATGTTGTCTCCCACTCTCGCCCCTCTTGCCACAATGAATAAAAATTCCCCAATAGCCGTGACTGCTCCCGGCTTGCTCTCCAGCCAACTCGTCTTCTCCTCTCCTCCTCTCTCCTCTCCAGCCGCTTGTTTTTTGCTCTCCTGGCCCATCCTCCTCCTCTCTCCCCATTAATCCTCTTTCTCTTCCCTTGTTTTTCCCCTCTCATCTCTTGTTATCCTTTCCTCTCCCACTTCCTCTAACGCTTCCTCATTTCCCAATTCACTCCAATATACCACACTCTCCCATCCATCTCCATTTCACCCTTGACCTTTTTTTTCCCTTGCT